GATCTACTACTACTACTACTACTACTACTGCTCTATTGCCCATAAAATAATCTTAAAAACATCTAAGACACAAATTTAAAGATTCACCAGAGATGGAGGTCTTCTGACTAATTTCCTCATGAGTACCTATAAGGACTTCACTCAATTAAGTCATTAGTATTAATGTTAAAATGTGTATTTACTTGGTGGAAGAGAAGCCCCATGATCCTACGAAAAAGATGAAGAGTGTCGAAAATAACTTGTGTGAATGGAATTGAGATTAATGGCTCATGAATTGAACCTTTCCTTCCATCAGTGGTTTTTTCTGCGCTGTTCTTCATACATTGTTGAAGATTCCTCTCAATTGGCCAGTCTTGTACTAAAAAAAAATTATAAAACAGAATGTTTATCAGAAAAATGCCAAATAAATATTGCATTTTGTATTTATAGCCACAGTTTTAAGTATTGCCGTCTTCTATCACCTGTCATAATTTATGTTTTCTAACTTGTAAACATCCTTCAAACTGATGATGGATACACTGTATCCGAAACATGTCTATTTATCATGGCAATGTTATTGTATGAGATGGTAGTTAAACAAAATGTTGCCTACAAAATTTATCTTTTAAAACATAATTGAGTATATTAGATGTGCACTTACTTGAGAAATCACAAATTTTTGCTTTTGTGCAGTGGCACCATATGCAAAAATATTTCCCAGTGGCAGCATTTAGTCCATAGGCCATGGCAAGAAATTTCCAGTCTGAGCAGCAGTACCTTTGGAAAACAAAATGAAAAACGCTTCATTGGGTAAACCATTTCCTGTTCCAATTTGAATGGATCCCAATTCACAGTGCCCCATCCTATCATGTACTGAGACACATAGTAAGTTATGTTCATAGCTAGAATATTTACATAATCTCTACTAATTCATTAAAAAAAAATTATTTTATGACGTAAAATAATTTATTTACCATATTACTTTGTAGTGTATTACGTCCACCTCAATACCATTTTGTGGAAGGTCATCAACTTGTGGAAACACAGGCCCAAGACAATTTTTCACTCCTAAATAATCCTCCTTTCCTGCAGAGATATAATTTTACAATATTTAATATTCTTCGTCTCTTAAAAGCTAGTATTCTTTATGAAACTGCTGGATTTTAAAATCTCACCATTATACAGAGCGATAGGGTACTGGTGGTCACAGTCATGTTCTTGTTCATTGAGAATATTAAACACAGCCATGACAGTGCCAATTTTATTGCTGGTGCGTCTTCCATCCGCAGCAAAGCGTAAGCGGAGTTCGTTGCCATTAGCTTGCACAGCGTTCTTTATACTTTGGTGGACAGCAGCTAACTTAAAATTGCCTTTATATCGCGTCTTACTCCATCTCCTTTTTTAGCCTGTGGTAAATTAGAATGAAGTATTATTATTTTTTTTTATAGAAAATCCATAGAGGTCTATTCAATTTGAGGATTTTTTTCTTTGTAATTGAATCTTTGTATTTCTACACTGGTCAGATTTTATTCCCTATAGTCTCGCTTGGCTTTAGTAGTTAGGTACATGTATTTAAAATAAATTATATTTGTTTTCACTNTAAACTGAGGAACTTTCATTGGAGAGTATAAAATTCTTAAAAGCAGAAATCTTAATCCTTACATTTCAAGGAATTGACTCTCGAAATAAGGAAAAAAATTCCCTGTTTTGAGTATCCACTGACCAAAAAGAATTTCGAAAAAAATAAACTTTAGAGTGGTGTGAACATCCTTGTACTTGTTTTCATCCTCGTGCTAATAAGTATCTCAGAAGTGCGAGACAGGCTTGAAGCATAGGCATAAACATAACAAGCTAATGCGCAGGTGCATGGGCACAGCTGTAACATATACATGAGCACAAGCGCTCAGTCGATGTTATGTTAAATAGGGACATAGTTGGTATAAGCATTATAGTGCTTGCTGATTGCCTGAAAGTCTTTCGCTTATGTTAATCCTTACGATTATGCCAACCAAGTCTTAACGAGACAGTATAAACATAAAAAAAATGCAACGTTTTGATAATCATATGCATTTTATGCTTATCCTTATGTCCGTGCGTTCCATCCAGCGCATAAGCTTTTACATGCCTATCCCTATGCTTGCATCGCAAGTTAATACTGAGTTCAAGATTGGAACAATAGTTTTATGATAAACAAAACAGCGCCCTTTTGAACTTTCATTCCACAAACCTTTACAGTAAAATTTAGAACAGTGATTGTCTTTCGCTAAATCCTGTTCTGGCCATATTTTCTGTCTTTGAGGCCTAATTTAGTTTCGCATCATATTCCTCATAATGCTCATTTACCAGTCTAACGATTCATACCCCAGTATGGAAATCAAACACCCATTTCTATTGACCACACAAATTACATTGGCTTATCCAATTCACGAGTTGGCTCACAGAGCCTTTGATTTAATTAGAAGCCGTTGGTCTAATGAAAGAAACGCAACAAATCCACAATGAAACATGCATGTGGTTCATGTTAACATGCACACTAGTACAAGACTATACTCTCATAAAGCTTATCTGCGATTGCGCCCTTTTGTAATTTGTAGCCTTGCCTGATGAGAGGTACTGGGACCAACATGGCCTCCAATGTGACTTCCAGTTCCGGTGCACCCCAGACCCGGGCTCAGACCGTTTCGGACGCCGCTCAGTGATTCGCAGTGAACTACAAATGCTACTACTTGAACTAAAAAATTAAAACATCGAATAACGTCACCAAGTACTTGGGAGTAAGGACGAACAGTGATCAAATTGTAGCATCAAAAATGATCCGATAATTATCAAAATATGCGAATTATGCTAGCATTGCTACTTGGCATAAATTATGCCAGTATGCTCAAATTATGCCAAAATTATGCTAGCATAAGGCCTACAGTCGGACCAGACTTGTTTATTTTCAGTTTGCTGGATTTCGCGAACAAGAATGCACGACTTATGATCAACGCCGTGGGAACGGTCCGTATGTCCGTATAGCATAAACCCGAACAAGTAATAACCAATCAGATCTACCTCAGGGCTACCTTGCCATATTATAAAATGAGGTTTCTCTAATTCTTCTCGGTGTAATGAGAATTCTTAAACTATTCTTCTTATACTACCTGTGACTCTCTTCTCTAATAGCTGTAAAAACTATTTTGGAAATCAAAGCGCAAGAGCCAGTAATAGGCAGTTATCCTCGACCAGAAATTTTTCCTCAAGCATAATTCATCTGCTTGAACGTTTAGCAATCGACTACATGGATATAAAGAGAAAACTTAGGCAGAGACTTTCGGTAGCACGAAATGGCTTGGCAGGATTTCTAAAGATCGTTAGATGTTATAACAAAGAGACGCATTTACTACGACGGTACTGGTTTATTCCATTCTATGCTACATCTTGTCCGATTATCGAAACACACACAATCACTACAGACGAAATGGCTTGTTAAAGGTTTACTCGCCCTCGTCCTCCTCTAGGTTAAGATGGGGATTATGCTACTGTAGGGATTGGTGGGATTGGTGGTGTCGATTGTGGTGGTGGTAGGTGTACTGTGGAAATAAATGCAAAAATCATTAGTTTGTGAAGCAAATTAGAAAAAAAAAGTCACAAGTACCAATAATTTCTTTCGGACATTTCAGTTGTTCCACGTTATGGAAAACGGAATCGCCATAAACTACTGTAAAGTTGTTTTATGCTATACCGTAAGCATTGCTATGTTCCCCCTTACTGCTACCCCTTTCCCCCCAGAAATTCCGTGTACCCATATATAATCCTGGGGGGGGAGAGAGGCACTACCGGAGTAAAGAGCCTGATAAAAACACCATACAATGACCCTAGGCTGGAACCCAGACCTCTCAACTCGGCATCCGACGAGATCACCTCTAATATAAGTGAATTTCTATTCAATATTTCCACGAAGGCGATAAGCTATTTCCCGGCATTCACTCACACTCCTTAATTTTGTAGACGTACAAAGCCCATTGACCTCCGACGCAAATTTTAGGCTTGTATGAATCTTCATCGCAAGTCCTGAGTGTACAATCTGGCCCCGAGACGCTTTTGCACTCTCCAGACCTTCCATGGACGCTGTAATCAGCAGGTACACCGCTCCAGCATTCACCATAATACTCGATGCCAAAATATTTGTAGTGCTTTTGTTTAGCTTTCTGTGCACATGCGCAAGTAAAGCTGTAAAGGAAAGGAAAAGGGAGAGTGAAAGATATGGAATAAATATAGAGAATAGAGCAATTTTCAAGTCAGTGTCGAAAGTATTCTGTGATGGTATTGGTTTTTGCTTTACTTTGCTTTGTGATTGGTCCAGAAAATATGCGCCACTCTCTCAACCAATCAAATGCAAAGCTAAAACCGTTTTTCCGCACCATAGGCAGCTGCAGTTTGGTTGGTTTTACTTAGAGTTCTCATTAGCTCTTAAATGTATTTTCTTTCTTCCGAATGCCTGTTATGATTACTTTGCCTTTGGTTTTACCACACTCAGTCCACTGAGTTCATGCTCAGCGTTCGTATATCAAGATATAGATGCACTCACTAAGTTTAAAAGAGCACGAGAGAAGCGCAAGGTTTGTTCAAGGCGGAAGTGAAAGCAACTCTAGCTTCTTGAGCAGATGGAGATATACACCATAGTTGCTCCTCATGAATTAGCAGATAGGACTTGGGTACACGCAATGTGACAATCAACCTTTTTGGACTGTGTGGCCGTACACACAGCAACGTCAGATATACTCCGGCTGAAATTCATAGTAATATCATACCCGTCGATGAAGTTTTCCCAATCTTTCCAATTTATGTTCTCTCCGAAATAGACTGCAGACCTATTATCTCTAGCTGTAAGAAGAAGTTCTGGAAACGCCCGTTGATATCCATCGTCTTCGAAACAACCGATCCTTTGTCGCTCCAATGGACATTTAGGTTGTCGTGAGGTATAACAGTTTTTTCCAAAACCTACAAGAGTACATAGGCATGCGCGTGATATATAGATATTTTTTTAAGGGGAGAAGTAGGACTTTCACGTTTCCTCTTTACCCTGTTTCTCCTGATTGAAAATAGACACGACAACAAGCAAATTCTCCTTAAGGGGCACCAATAAAAATACTTAAAAACAAATAAAACCCGTGTAACAGATGAAATAGATTTGTTCTCTTGGTGATTAGGACAAAGAAAAACAATAGCAATTGCCAAATGAAGCATTTTATAAATTATATAAATTGGAATTTTTTTGCTTTTGTACTCAAAAGTAACAGTGGATTGTGTAGTGTTATCGTCCCATTGCATCTAGGGTGAAACTCCAAACGACAGATTGCGATGGATTGTGGGTAATACAAAGGATTTCTAGAGAGCAATGAAAAAATGAAATGGTTCGCACCGATAAGTGACAGTCGATCATGTATCAATACCATTCTGCAGAATCTACCCAGGATCAAACTTCTTAAAAAAAATTGTGGGGTATGCGATACAACTTCATCATCAAATATAGAGTAGCCTGCTTGCAAGCGGTAGTTTGTGTTTTCAAGCGCGAGATTCAGCACATGGAATATTCGGTTTCCATATTGGAAAAGTGGAAGATTTATGACGAAAGACAAAGCGAGAGGGAGTAGGTTGGTATTTCTTTCCTCTCCCCCTCCCCCTCGCTTTGTCGCTCGTCCCAGATCTTCCACCCATCTAATATGGCGACCTGATATTCGCCGCGCTGAGTCTCGCGTTTGAAAAAAACATAAACTACCGCCTGCCCGTAGGCTAAATGCAGAGAACAAAGTAGTTGAGTGGATGAAGCCAAAGGAATGTTTCGATCTTCCAGAGCAGAGGCTCTGATCCATCTTTCTCCAATTAATCTAGGCTGATTTACGCTCACATGTTTACCTGCTGACTTTGGAGGAGTTGTTGGGGTAGAAGCCTCTGTTGAAAAAAAAAACGACTAAAGTGATCTTAACGGTAAGGGATCAGTCATTTAATATCGCTTGGAAGGGGGGCTTGGGGGATTTGAGGGGGGTGGAGTTTTTCGGAGGGAATAGACTTGAGTGGGGATTAGTCTTCGCCAACAGAGTATACAGGGGGGATAAAGAAAATTGACTGGCGATTGGCTGTCAGCAAGGGGATGGGTGGGGGAGGGGGATAGTATGAATATGCAGAGCCTTAGGGGGGAATCAGGTATATTTACCCTAATATAACGAAAACCCTCCTCCCTTCCCCCCCCTCCCTTAGCGATGAAAAATGGCCGGTCCTTCGGGAAGAAACTGTTACTAAAGTTATGGTCGTATATTGAGGTGATATTTTAGGAACACGTACATACACCTTATCAGTCCGGCATTATTTCACTGTCTAGTTTCCAAAATGCATCCCTCAGCTTTGTCTGAATGTTGATCGTAGAAGGTGCACGTGAAGTATGAAAACAGCACAAACGAAAATTTTAGAGTGTTTTTAAAAAGGGATCAAGAAATCTGTGTCACAAAATTCGTCACTTAAAAATTCTAGCCTTTGATTGTGTTGTGCCAATTTGATTGTGTTGGCCATTTGTTACCCCGCTTTTCGTCCGTAGTTGTGTCATATTTCACATTGTAATACCGTTGCCTCGTTTACACGTCCTGTAGCCCTAATGGTAAAATGGTAAAATGTAGCCCTAATGTAGCCCTAATGGTAAAATGGCGTAAAAAAAGGTCTCAATGAGCTTACCGTTAGCCATAAAACAGCCAAAAGATTTAAAATAATATTGGCAAATTTTACGTCGTAAAAAAAGAAAGTAACCGTAGAGATTTTTCTGGTGATCATAATGGAAAGATATCAATGACAACTTCACGTCCTTGTACAGTGAACTTAATCTGAAGAAGACGACGGGGGCTTTCCCTTTAACAAACTCTTTTTCATATGAACACAGCTAGATAGACACATTGATCGCCACATAATTTTTTTTTTCGCGACTTTGCTGCTTGTCGGCAATGTCTCAGTTTTAGTTTTTACGAAAAAGTAAAATTGTTACATACCTCGGTGGGCTCGAACTCCTCCAGTCCTTCCACCGATTGAGCCACTAGTTGCCTGACTTGTCTTTTCTCACTATTTCTGGCTGCCGGTGTTAATTGCCAGAAGTCCTTTTTCACGGGTGTTATAGAAAACATTTTCAGTGTCTCTCTAATTCTCTGCTTTAGCAGCATTCCTTTAGCATTTGCTTGTTGAAGCTGAGCTACAACTTCATTCAGCTCGCAGAGTTGCAATGGAGTTGTACTGATTTCTCAAATTGTGGTTCTCTTCCCGAAGACGCCTTATTTCGTTCTCACAAACCTCTCTAAGAGATGGCTGTGTTTGTGCCAGTGTGCAACTCTGTGCTCGATTGTGTTGAAAATGAGTTAGAAAACTCCCACTGCTGACGGACTTGACCTTAAATTTCGATAACATTACTTAGCGAGTATCAGTCCTCACTACATCCGGACGTTTTTCTAGTTACCATCATTTTGTGTCTTATGTTCATTCATGGATAACTTAAACAAAGCGATTGCTTTTAATAGATCGCTTGATACTTGTCAGTAGATCATTTTTATCAGGGAGGTGAGAAAATAACCATCTATTGTTTTAATCGTTTCTCATGAAGCGGCTGCGTGTATTATGAGAATTGATCGATATTTAGTTCTTATTAACCGAGCGGGAGGTCTGTATG